GTAAGGGGAGGAGTCTCATGTGGCAGGAGAGGAGTCTCAGATGTAAGAGGAGGAGTCTCGGGTGTAAGGGGAGGAGTCTCATGTGGCAGGAGAGGAGTCTCAGATGTAAGAGGAGGAGTCTCGGGTGGCAGTGTTGGGTCAGATGGTGGATCAGGTCAGGTGGTCTTTTGTGTCAGAATCTCTTTACAACCCTTACAGGTATGTTGTTCTGCCTCCAGGTGACATTGTGCTACAGAGCAAGGCAGTAGACCTGAGGGAGGGGCAGCGGGTGGTCCTGAACACCAACATCCTGCTGGCATCAGATCTGGGAGATCGACCGGAGGAGCTGGTCTTCACAGTGCTGGTCCCGCCTCAGCATGGCCTGGTGCACGGCGTCCAGCAGCCGGGGGTCCCGCTGCTCAGCTTCACCCAGCTRGATGTGGCCGCTCACAGGGTGGGCTACACTCACAACAACGAGCACCACTCGGAGACTGACTCGTTCAGGTGAGAGAAGACTCCGCCCCCTCCCCTGAGCTCAGGTTTGTTTTTCAACTTGTGTCTGACATGACTTAGACTTAGTTCCTCCTGTGCCATTCGGCGCATTGGGCTGCAAGACGTCTACATTGGGACCAATCTCTTGCAGTCACTTCGGCCTCATCTAGGCTGATATTTATTTAGTTAACCTTTATTTCAACAGGCAAAACATTAAGAACAGTTTCTTATTTACAATGTTGGCCTGAGATATCTAGGGCCTGAGATGTCTAGGGCCCTGAGGTCTTCGTGGAAAGTATGGCACCAGTTCCATCGAGGTTGCCCTTGTTTCCATTTCTCCCGTGGTGGTACCCACTGGATGGCGGTTTTCAGTAAACATGTTGCTGTCTGATGGAGGACATGTCCAGAGAATCTTATTCGGCGCTCTGTCACAATGTCGTTCAGTGGATGGGTGGCTGTTCTGCGATGGATCTCCTCATTGGTGATGCGGTATGAGACTCGCAGGATCCATTGTAATCGCAAATTTTGGGCAACGTTCAGTCTTCTTTCAGTCTCTGAAGACGTCTTCCATGTTTCACATGCATATATGGCTTTTGGGAGGAGGATCGAGTTAAAAAGGCGGATCTTTGTTGCCATGCTGATACTTGTGGACATCCAAATYGGTCAGAGCTGCTGAAAAAAAGCTCAACCCTTCCCAATCCRGCAAGCCACACCATGTTCTGCATCACTATCGTTAGTTATGAYGTTGCCCAGATGTGTGAACCTTTGCACTCCTTCAATTTGGTGTGGTCCGATAGTGGTAGGGGTGCCAGCCATGGCATATCTGATTCACATGATCCTGGTCTTGTTGACGTTAACCCAGAGTCCGACCTTATTTGATCCTCCGTCAAGGCTCTGGGTCATGTCAATGATGCTATTAATCATTGCCCCAAGATTTGTAAGTTAGACCGGTTCGGGCCACGTTTTTCCAAAATCTGCTCGATCCATGGAGGCAGAATATAATTAATGACCAGGAGGAATAGGAAGGGTGAAGGTATACACCCCTGCCACACACCGGTCTCGATGGCGATGGTTCATGTCTGACATGAACCATCAGCTTATTGTAAACTAAATGTTCCTGCAGGAACCAGAGTCTGTATGCTCAGGCCGTGGAGGTTTAAGCTCCGCCTACTTTCCTACACTAATAATAATCTTAACAATAAGAGAAAAAGCTGCTGATTCTGCTCAGCAGAATAAATGACAAAAACCTGTGTGCTTGTTGTGACAACAGCAGAATATTTGTGTCGTGTAAAATCCATCATCCAGCAGAGACACGAGACAGAAAAAGACTCGGCATCAGGGGACGACAGGCGTGCTCTGCTGCAGTATGTTGATCTGCTTTTCCAGCCAATTTGGCAGCAGCAGGGTGTTTGGGGGGGTTAATGTGAGGATGAGGAGGACCCGGGTTTGTCACCCAGACCTGTGCTGCCCTGAACTGCTGCCTGTCTGGCTCCAAACAGATCTTTCAGATCACAGCCAAGGCTGTGAGACGAGCAGCCAATCACAGGCCAGTTCCTGTCACAACTCTGGCAGCAGCTCTTTGGATCAACTCAACACTTCTTACACTGTTTGGACCCAGATAATAAAAAATACAATAATCCAGCCTAGAAGGACCCGGTCCTCAGTTTGAGACGAAATGTTTCTGACTTGAGTCAAATCATACAGATGGAAGGAAAACATTTCAACGTTAAAACTAAAAACATCCTTATGAACATCTAGATTCTTTACAACTGAAGACCACCAGAATGCCCACTGTGGACCACACCCAGTCAGTCCTCTGTTCTGTCAGGGGGGTCAGAGCAGGTTCTGCAGGACTCAGGACTCTATTCTGGTCTGTTGTGGACATGATAGACAGACAGCGTCTCTCAGCTGGTCTGGGGACACCTTGAAATCCTCTATGGTGGGTGGAGCTTAGAAACCTGTCTGTCAAAGAGCTTAGACACCTGTCTGTCAAAGAGCTTAGAAACCTGTCTGTCAAAGAGCTTAGACACCTGTCTGTCAAAGAGCTTAGAAACCTGTCTGTCAGAAACTACAGTGGGTGGAGCTTAGACACCTGTCTGTCAGAGACTATGGAGGGTGGAGCTTAGACACCTGTCTATCAGAGTTTACAGTGGGTGGAGCTTAGACACCTGTCTCTCAGAGACTACGGTGGGTGGAGCTTAGACACCTGTCTATCAGAGTTTACGGTGGGTGGAGCTTAGACACCTGTCTCTCAGAGACTACGGTGGGTGGAGCTTAGACACCTGTCTCTCAGAGAAAACGGTGGGTGGAGCTTAGACACCTGTCTGTCAGAGACTGCAGTGGGTGGAGCTTAGACACCTGTCTGTCAGAAGACATTGAGCTTAGATAAAACAGAAGAAACTTTATCATTTCTGTGTTTTGTTTTCATTTCTGCAGTTTTCTGGTGACAAACGGTGACTCCTCCAGGAACGGTAGCCTCCTCTTCATCATCCAACACGGGGACCGTACCCCACCGACCCTGAGCCGTAACGTGGGCCTCCAGCTGCAGGACGGTTCCTCTGCCACCATCACGTCCAACCTGCTGCAGCTTACTGACCCCGACACGGAGGCTGCCAACTTGAGCTACGTGGTCACCCAGCTGCCCACACATGGTCAGCTGCTGCTGAGGGGGGACCTGCTGGCCTCAAGTCCTAGGTTCAGCCAGACTGACGTGGACCAGCTGGATCTGGTTTACCAACACGTCCCGGGCAGCCCAGCAGAAACTGACAGGTTCTACTTCCTKCCAAGTGATGGAAGCAACAGAGGCTACCTGGAGTTTGGCCAACTGAGGGCGGAGCCTGCAGCGTTCATCATACAGGTGAGCATCAGCTGACATGACCATGTGAGGTGTGTCAGGGTGTCAGATTCTCTTTCATCAAACATTYCATGGCTTTGAAATAAAACCTGACATTTTCACATCAGATCCAGAGGATTTCTGCTCGACTCATAAAAATAAAAAATATATATTCTTATTTTCCCACTGAGCAGCACCAGAACTGAACAAAAAGAGGTTCTGTGGTCTGTACCGGTCTCTGTACCAGGGTTAATATAGTTAACTAAAACTAAAACTAGGTGTTAAAATGCAATAATAACTAATAAAAACTAGCAATTCCACTGTAAAAACAAATTAAAACTGARTTAAAAGAAAAAAGTCACAACGAAATAAAACTAAACTAGAATGAAAAATCCAAACTATTCTAACGTTGCTCTGTAGCAGCTGTGTGAGGTCAAAGGTCAGACTGATTGTCTGACATGGACAGCACTGACACCTGCTGGCCCCAGAGATGAACTGCAGCAGCTGTGTGAGGTCAAAGGTCAGACTGAGTGTCTGACATGGGACAGCCCTGACACCTGCTGGCCCCAGAGATGAACTGCAGCAGCTGCTGCCAAGAAGACTTTTACAAATAAACCTGTTAGGAGTCAGGATGGTTTCACCCTCAGCTGCTCTGCAGCTCTGTTACATAGACAATCTCAGAGAAAAATGTTACTTTTTTAATGTTTGGGGTTTATTTTTTGTTGTTTTACTTATTGTCTTCATGCTGTTTGTTTTGTTTACAACATTTAAACTATTTGTCATCATATAAAAAGTCTTTATCAAAATGTAAAAATGCAACATGAAGCATTAAAAACATCAAACCAAACAAACTCAGGAACACAAACAACACTTGTTTCTACTAAAAACTCTAATTTAACTGATGGAGCAGGAAACAGGAAGAAACACTTTCACAATAAAACGTATGAAAGTTAAACTGAACTAAATTCAGTCCTGGTTCTGGTTCTGCTCTGGGACTGGATCCTGTTGCCACACTGTGTTCAGGTGGAGCAGGTGGACCGGATCCCTCCCAGTCTGAGCGGACTGCAGAGTCCCAGCACGGTGGTGGATCTTGGTTCCGGGCGGTTTGGTCTCTTCATCAGCAGCAGGACCCTGCAGGCTTCAGACCCGGACAGTCCAACAGAACAGCTGGAGTTCTACATCAACAACCCCCCTCAGTTTGGACACCTGGAGAACACGGCCACAGGTAGAACCAAACAATGGATCTGGACCCGTCTGGTCTAATGGGACCTGTTCCTGAAGACTTTGGTTTAAAACCTGTAAAATGTAGGACGAGAAAATAAAAACCTGCAGACAGAACTTCAGATTTTTGTTACGTTTTTCACCAAATTATTATAAAATATATTTTATTAAAGATTGGACTTTTTCAGGTTCATTTTCTTTAAAAGTTTTACAAATGTTAACATCTGTGGTCCTCACAGG